GGCGTTCTTCCGCTTGCCTTGAATGTCGTTTGAAGACGACCTGCTGCCACACCCGTCCCCCGTATCCGCTCCCCTGTTCTCGCTCGCCGAAGTGTTTGCTTCCCCACCACCCGCTGCCGCTTGGCTTTGCTCACCTTGTTGTGACTGTTGTCCTTGTGTGTTGCCGGTGTCCACGAGATTCGGCGGGTGGACGGTCTGGTTGTTCCCCTGCATGATGTGGATCGCGTCGTATAGAGTGCGGTCTAGATTGAACCTGTACCCTTTCTCCTTCCGTGCTTTCGTGGTCATGAGGAAGTACGATTGCAGCCACGAATCCTTCTCCCTGTCCCACACTTTCCTGTACCACCCGAATATGTTCTGCCACCTCTTCATGCATTGCTCCCCGTCTCGCCGAACTCCTTCCTTCTCCATCCGCTTAGCGATGTCCATCCACTTCTGGTCCTTCGTTTTCATTCTGGCGAAATTGCTTCCCGCATTAGCGAAGTAGTCGTCTTGGTCTCTCTTGCACCGAACAAGAACGAGGGATTCGTTCAAACTCCAGTTCCCCCGCGCTCCGCTCCCACCACCCTCGTCGTTCGTATCACCTTCCTTATCCTTACCCTTCACTTTCCCACGGGCTTTGGAAGGTTGCTTTTTCGTCCCGCCGGAGACTGCTTCCTTGACCGGAGCTTCGTCTTCGTCTTCCTCGTCACCGTTATCGTATTATACGTCGACGCGGTCCGCCTCGCTGGCACCACCGTCACGGCCGCCCACATCACCGTCGCTGGTCGGCCTCGAGCTATTATAGCGGCAGACAATACGCTCCATGCATCGAGGTGATTCTGCAACCCCGCCCAGACCAGGCCTCCGTTCCTTCATGGTCGCGCCTGCTCCGTCACCTTCGCTGGTTGCCTGCAAGCTGTTGAACCGGCATCGAGGGGATTCCACAACACCGCCCACATCAGCCCTCTGATCCTGCATTGCCGCGCCTGCCGCAGGTTGGTGATACGACACGTTGCCCGCTGGTGCGGCTTGGCTAGGCGCAGGCCTTGACATGTGGTTCGGCCGATGCATTGACACCCCGTCGTCAAGGACACTGGCATGCATTGTCTGCGTGCTCGCACCGCCACCCTGTCCACTCCGTTGGACGAGGATCGTTCTAGACAAGTCCATGGTGGCCGTCGGTGACACTTGCAAATCGAATGGATGACGGCCTCTGCCCCGCGTTTCGCCCAGCAAAGCGGACATCGGACCCACACCCCCTCCGGTGCTTTCAACTCGCGGTGGTGTGTCGTAAGACGTCTGTGTCGACCCCCATGCCAGACCCAATGTCGACGGAGGGGGCGTCCAGGTCGTGTCATCAGGCAAAGGCTGCTGGTGAGGAGGGAGATGCGAATACAAATTTGGATCAAACCTGTGGTGGCGATTGTGTTGCATTCCACTCCATCCTCCGTACACCCCCCTCCCCATCCCAAAACCCTCACAACCCTGACTGTATTCGTCCCCCATCCCTTTGCTTCCCGATGCGCCCTGTCAAAGCGTCTTCAACCCCTTCCTCCTTCCACGTCGGATGCGAGCACCGGCCAGGTGGCACACGTGCAGCGCTATGAGTAGCACCACCGCCCCAAACAGGATAATTAGCAGAGCTAGCTTCCTCACCATGTCAGCCATGCGCGCCTGCAGCTAAACACGACACACAAATCTGCTACCTTTCGATGACGACAAAGCGCGGAAGCAGAGGAGTGCAATATAGCGGCTCGCGGAAAAGGCCCGGCAGGCGACGGGCAGCGCATACCAGCCACTTCGCATTCGAAACACACGCCGCCAATGACACTCGCGTGCCCGCCTCCGCGAGGACCCCCGCAACGGTTGTCTCCACACGCAAGCCGAAACGGCTAGCCGGAGGTACCGCATGGCCACAGTCGGGCCACGGCGCTGCCCGTTGGAGACTACCGTGGAACCACCGTCCCATGGTGTACAGGACAACCCAGCGTTTGGACCAGGAACGCGAAGAAAACACCTGAGGAAAAAATAAAACAAAAATGTCGCCGGTTTTCCCATGGAAAGTAAGGGCGCCACCCCTACTTTCAAGTCACCTCCACGACCGTTCTTGCGTTTGCGTCCGTTTTGGCTGGGGAGTCCTTATTTTTGTAGGGCTCGCCCTTACGCCCGCGAATGTAAAAACAAATTTCGCATCTTTTTTTTCGTCATTAGGGAGAGGTGGAACGATGAAACCCTTACATGTAAGGGTTTTCTAGTGGTGTCGAACGAGGCCCATAGATTGTTGTGCCGATGTTCGATCTTGCACGGTCACTCCTTGTCTTCGCCAACGTTCATAAGACCTCGACTGTGGTATGCTGTTGTGTTGCCGAGATGACGGACACTCTGCGCCTGGCCTTATATTAAGTACACCTGTCCCAGTCCTGACCAGGTTCATTGAAAAAAGGTTATGAGGAGAGAGAGAAAGAGAGAGAGAGAGAGAGAGAGAGAGAGAGAGAAATGCAGCGGTCGAGAAGCGGAAGGTCGGGAGAAGATGGTAAGGAGGATAGTCGAGCTTACCTGGCTCGTAGATAAGGGAAACTGGAATGGCAACGTATCTTTCCGTGTTGTAGTGGAAGATTCATTCTCATTCTGAATATCAGGTGAGGGGTAGTAACACTACTCACCGAGAAAACTCTGCCTTCGCCCATCGTCGCAATCCTAACGGCGTTTCGTGATTGGTGTTGGTGGTTGCTTTCATCTCGTGCTCGGAGAAGCCGACATGGTCGATCTACTACTGTTGTGAGGTTCACGTTCTCCCTGTTGCTTATTGATCCCGTCGTTGTTCGCGGTTGTTCGCGGTCATTGACTAACTCCCTTAAATTTGTAAAAATTTCGGTAGCGTTCCCCGTAGAAACAGGGGACTGCCAAGATTTATACAATGTTGAAATTACAAAGACAAAACACAACTCTACCTGGGACCAACTCCCGACACTTACCTGATAGTTAAAACCGAAGATAGTCTGCACGATTCCTTCTTAAGGATGACATCGTGACATAACCTCCTAGTAAGGTCAGTCCTATCTTATCCTAAGTTTCCCTCCCAGCATCCATCTCACCTACCTAAGCTCCAGTACTCTGCGAGCATCTAAAGCGAGTAAGCTATCAAAAAGGAAAACCCCAGAGATACCCCAAAGGAAACATACATAGGTGAGCACAACAACATCTCTCACCAACCCACAAGTTCCTTCTGTCTTCACACGAGTGGTCAGGTCAACTCTACTTATGAGACTCTAACTTATATTTAGAAAGAAAAATAGCCAAGTTTTATATTATCTCTCTGCTATTTGTGTTATAGAGGGCATAAGACCAACTACCCAACTTATGGATTAGTCAGCCTGCCCAAGGTTACCACTTACATTTTATACTATTCATCTTATTTCTCCTCTGCTTTGTCTGTTACCGGCTCATATCGCTGGATCTCCCAACTTATGGTGCCCAACGTGCCATTGATATACATAATAAATAGAGTACTAAAATTGTATACTCCGATCCTCTTTGTGATGGAGGCTCATGACTTGACCACACCAACTTATGGTGTGAATAGTCTCGCTTGAACAATATAACGTTTGGCATAGGACTGATTCACACCAACTTATGGTGTGGTCAGTTTTTGCCCTTAGAGTTGACATAAGGCGTATGACCTGGCCGTACCAACTTATGGTGAGGCTGGTCAGCTTGAACATTCGGCATACATATAGAATGAGCCACCTCAACTTATGAGGAGTCCAGCCTCTGCCTAAACAATGACAAAAGGCATATGACCAGACACAACAACTTATGTTGTGCCTGGCCAACCCAAACGGTTACATATAGCGTAGAATGAA